TAGTATAATACTATGGAATACAACTGGGCTTAGAGCTTCATTGTCAGTCGGCTATAAATGACATAACGCACGTGGACGTAGTACGACGTTGGTTATCATCTATGTGTGTATTCGTCGGAGTTCGTCTAATGAGTTGTTTCCCGCTAGACTAATTCATAGGCATATATAGTTGAGTGAAACTGTCCAGGGCTGATCTGCATCATTTAGAGTGTGAATATCTGAGCGAGGCTAAAGTCATTAGAACATGACTTGTTTAAGAGATTTGTAATGGGAGTAAATCAACACGCGGCTGAAAGTAGTCTGAAACGCTGTTTTCGTCGAAGTAGGAGCTGTCTCTCGGAGTTTTCGTCAGCTCTACAAACTCCTGGTATAATTAGCCCAGCCTCGAACAGATATTCACACTCTAAATAGTCCAGATTAGCACTGAACAATTTTATTTGGCGGAACTGTACTAGAATGTTACAGCAGCACCTGCTGAGCAGGCGATAGTTCCGCAGACTCCGACTCGTTTCGGAAGCTTCCGGATGCAATATGGCTCTCCAGTGGCGATTACGAGCAGTCATCCTCCTCACGCGAAGTCACGTCAGCTCATCCGTTTATTCGGATGCTCCGAGTAACCATAATCGTAATTAACGACTGTGGTTAGTGAACCGACACATGACTCAGTACCGATCATATGATCCTGTTTCTCATAACAGTAGTGTTGGTGTTGCGTTGACTAGTAAGTGATGGCTGATTGAAGGAGTAAACGACAGGGAACTTCATTGTGATAGAGCTCTCAGCTGTGCTACGATAATCACCTTCGAATACAGCCTAAGCCGCGTATTGAGCAGATACGATCTATCAGATTGATTTAATCACACTTGTGGGATGTCCGATTTCGACGTCATCGAGTGTGTACGACTAGAGATGGCGCGTCTAGAGGATGACTCCACGATGATAGGTATTATCGAAGGTCGTGCTTTGTGGTGATCTCTGTTGTGCTAGAGTGTCTGCTGGAGGGAATACTCACGCTGCCTGCTTCTCTGATGGCGCCGATATCATATATGATACGAGAGTACTACGGTCAAGGATGGGTCTGGATTCGTGTGTAGCATTGACACAGTCGCTGTCCACTGTGGGGACGGAAATGGACTTCAGCGAGAGCTAGGCTCCTTCTAAAGTGAAGCCTGGCTGTTATAATTTGTACACTTGTTCGACGAGCTGAATATCAAGTGATTCGCAAAACTAATTTTTTATGGATGAAAATCAATTTCGAGTTTGATAAGTAGACTACACTAATGTCTCTCGCTATTGTCGCGATGTAGAAGCTCCATCGATGATCAGGTATTGTCGGAGTACAATAAGCGGCTACGAAAGTAACTCTCTAGGCTGTTTGAAGTTGATCAAGGCACTCTATGAGCATCCCGCTGCTGCCATTGGAGATGTCGTACAACCACAAGGTAGAATCGGCGACTGTTTTACTATGTACCGTCCTCGCGTGAAGTTGACTATGACTCTGTCATATGGCTCTAATGAGCTCTGAAGTAGGTACGTCCGGTGCCACTCTATTACCGCAGAACAAAGTCCCTTCACTCAAGGAGTGCCTAGTAGACATATTAGAGGATTGTATAGTAGGAGTGTATCATAATGCAAGGGTAATATGCCCTCTGTGGGCGTCGATCCTGGGACCTTCTGATCTATCAGACGCCTGATGTAGCACAGAACATCTACCTGTCTATATGCTGGTGGAGAGACTCCCAAGCTTTTGGAGAGGACACCCCTCTCATTGAGGCAGCGATACGTAGCCGCTTACTCCCACTATCATCATCATACCTATTCCTAGATACGATGAACGCACTCAGAAGATGTGCTCCATCAGCTGCGTTGGTGTCGGACTCCTGCGCTCTTGAGTCGGCGATAGATCTGGTTCTCTCGGTAAGCTGCGGATATTGGGGAGGCTGTCTCATCTGTATGTACTCAGGATGGTTCAGCAGCAGGAGTGCCTCCTGTGGCTGAGCTACGGAAGGCCGATAGTGATATGGACTCTCTGATGACAGCTTTGGAGACTTTCGTGAGGAGCGGTGAGTCCTAAGGGACGGTCATGTCTGACTGCACTGTGCAATACTCAGGGTCAACACCAGAGCAAATTGTTGAGGGCATAAATGCTGAGCAACTCGAGAAGCTATGTAGAGCCCATGTAAGTGCGGAAACTCGACATTGATCTGAATGGTATGAATCTCATCTCCTCAGATGAGCATCACCGAGCTGCTTGTCGCTCTAGATGCGCGGCATAAGGCTTTGATGGACAAGTGCCGAGCATTGAACTTAGAGGTAACCAAGCAGGTGTTGGGGTGATAGAGGTGGCGTTTGGTCTTAGATCAACTTTGTGGACAAGTTCTTGCATATGAAGGTAGAAGATGTGTCGTCTTCATCAAATTCAGAAGGCACTACGGCTGATTCTTGATGAGACGATTACCTCCTGTTTGTGTTGTGTTGGGTTTTAGTGACGGGCTGGAAGTAGAACTCGTGGCAACTCCTTCCTCCCTCGCAACGGTACGGAGTAGTGCTTGCTACGGGTGCTCCCACATTTTCACAACGTATCAGCCCTATGCCGCATTATCCAGAACCGAGACTTTCATCATTTGGTCACCGACGCCGTATAATAGGGATCAGCATCGATGAGGTGATGTTGGAAGAAGAGCGGAAGCTCGATAAATAGGAGCTTCAGAGTCAGCTATTGGTCTCCTTTCTCAAAGGGCAACCCCTCATTGTATTTTCATGTTGGCACAACTTGTCGGCTATACTGTTCAATGGCAATTCAGTTGGAGACGTTGGCCCTGACAGCAGGAACTGCTATTCTCTAATCGACGTACAGGAGAGTCGACTGCAGATCAGTTGAGGCATGAGACTTGACGCTGGTCACACGTCGTATTTTGCAGTAGTGCGCGGTCCTTTGTCATCGTCTCTCGCGTTCCACAAGTCATTCTAGGCAATCCGAGCATGAACAGGGTATAGGTCAACAACGCGCGCGGTGCAGTACGCAACAGAACAACGTGCGCTCGCTCGCCGCCAAATCTCGAACGTACTGATTCCACCCTAGCCAGCACACTCAGTGCTCGTCATTAAAGTAATCCGACGTACCATAACCGCTGTCTCTCACGCTGGGCTCGATGGCACTCTTGAGTCTTAGCAATCCATGGAATACGATGGTGCTATCCACACGACGTACTATTGGTCTTCTGCTTTCTTGGGGGGGCTCAGTTACAAGATAGCAAAGGAGCAAATAGCAAAAAAGTGCCAATTAGCTGGAATGTATATTCCCTGCGGCTT